TGAAATGAGGTGGGCTAAAATCACTTGTTCGCCAAAAATCGTTTATCAATTATAAATATGATAAGTTGTCAATATGCTCTCACTGTAGCGTCCGCCATGGAGTTCCAGCTTCRCTCATTCAGGAAGGGATGGAACCMGTAGTAGTGGACAGGGATGGAAATTGCCTTTTCCACTCTCTCGCTGTTCYGTGTTCAAAGGATGGACATGATGATTATGCCATCATAAAGCTTGGGGCCGTCGTAGATGGCTGCCTAAATGAATTAAGCCATATTGAAAAGGTATCTCTTACCTACCCTCWCATTTATTAGAATCAACACTAATCGCTGTTATTGTTTTGAATGTTGGAAAATTCTCATACGCAGATAATGGAACATGTGGATCCACAAACCATAATTCATACATTGGCCTCAGAAAACATTTTGACTTCTCTCCCTGAAAAWYTGTCAGGGATCGAAAGGATTCGTGAAGTATTCCGTAGGGGAGTCATGGCAACAGTAATGAATGGAAGATTTTCAGGTATGTATAGGATATGCCAACTGTTAGGACTATCACTTTGGTCAGTTGATGGAACTTGAATTTCACGCAACACTAATGCTGTATTAGATTTAGAAAAAATTTGCTTCCGTGTTGCATGACCATTACCTACGTGCTAAACGGATGCGAATGTTCTGAACTATCTATARATACATATGCATGGAGCCGGTATATCTAGTATATGATAACAATATTGTACTTCAACAATTGTAGACATCAATAGTTAATGATCTCATGGATTGTATGTGCAAAATATTTCATATAGGACTGCTTCAAGTACAAATGGCTTCCAATTTCCTTGGAACACCTGTGACCATGCATTGCACGGAACCTGGCAGTGAGGCTTACAACAGGACCATCGCGCCTATGAAGACCAGTGATGTAGTTCCTGCAGTCAACATTTTATGGTGTAAACTGACAGACGATGCAAAAGCCATAAATCACTTTGCACCTCTTATTCATTGCCCTGAAAGTAGGACCAGTATGTATTTTGTTGTTTTATTTCGAAAATGCATTGTTTGGAAGCACACTTTTGACCAATCTTTTTACATTGCAGAGTTTAACACATTTCAGCTAGTAGACAAGAACTCTCCATTCCACTGTCCTTCTTGCCAATTTCTAGACAGTATTGTAGAGGAAGTTGTACAGTGTCAGTACTGTCTGGTATGGCATCATAGGAAGTGTGTGGAATTTGCTTCGGTTACTACCAGACAGCAAAGACTATTCGGTTGTGGATGCGCGACGAATGTCGACCAACAATGGTAGGAAAACCAGGTTTTTTTCAGTTATATGTTTTCAAAGATATAGGCATTATTTTACTTTTTAATACATAGGATTGCAGACATACAGAATGACAAGGTCTTGAGGAGAATATATACAATAGCAATTTGTTAACGGTATGCAACAAGTTTTCGATGATAATGTTTTCGAAATTTAGATGCTCTTTTATCTTAAAAGATTCGCGGTAATAAGCGTTCTTTTTATATTCCGGACTTTCCTTTTCAGGATTATTTAAAGGAAATACTGAGAGGCACATTGCCCTCAAAACGTCTTTCGTTATTTCAAAAACATTTCACTTCCGAAAGAGCACGAAGTCTGCGCATGATGGGTAGCTTTGGACCTGGATCTCAAGCTGGGGTATGCTGTGTTATTCCAAAATAATGATTYTTTTTCGTGAAATACACTTCACCCTTATATATTATTTATCGGTATACGGTACTTTCAATAATCTACTCAAAGAGACTGGCACAACGAGAACTGTTGACGAGTTCGACATTCCATAGTAATGTATTTATCATCTTTCTAAAATAGCAGCGATTTCTTTCTTGTCAAGGATCTGTTATCAGTGAATATGTTCCCGTTCCTACTGCAAGTAGCTAAGGTTGAATATTTCGTGAAGTGATCRCCACATGTCCAGACATTACAGACTGTATGTCTATTTGATTTTTTTGCAGACCGAAAAACGTTGTGAGGCGATAAAGAGCAAAGTGTTTACGAAAGTACAACATCTATTTCYATCATGCGTAGAAAACAACCCACATTTATTGGAAAGATTGCAGAATACAGTCCTCCTTCCAGAGGTAACGATTGTCCTTCTTTCAAAAAAGATTAAACAATTTACGACATATATGTTGTATTTAACAGACCACTATTTTCATAATTGGATTCCTCTGCAATACTACAAGAAAAAGAGCTGCAGCCCTGCTCATGCCTGAAAACCACTAAGACATAGAAATACTGGGTCAAGTGACAACATGAAAAACATAAAATATCCTAACTCATGTATTCATGATTATTATAAGACCGGATGCACAACACATAATCAAGTAGACTCAAATAACAACCCAAACCCGATCTTGACTATTTGGAGTATGAATGTGAAAACATAGATAAACAGGCTGCAATAGAACCCCAAACCGACCTTGGTTATTCTACGTCAAAAAGTGAATCCACTTAACCAAGTTCGATTTTCGGGGTTGTCTGCATAGCGGGATGTGAAAACATAGGCAAATAGGCTGCAATACAACCCCAAACCGACCTTGGTTATTCTGCGTCAAAAAGCGAAGCAACTTAAACAACTTCAATTCTCGGGGTTGTCTGCATAGCGGGATGTGAAAACATATGGAAATAGGAAGCAATACCACCGCAAACCGATCTTGGTTATTCTGCGTCAAAAAGTGAATCCACTTAACCGAGTTCGATTCTCGGGGTTGTCTGCATAGCGGGATGTGAAAACACAGGCCAATATATAGGCTGCAATAGAACCCCAAACCGACCTTGGTTATTCTGCATCAAAAAGTGAATCCACTTAACCGAGTTCGATTCTCGGGGTTGTCTGCATAGCGGGATGTGAAAACACAGGCCAATAGGCTGCAATACAACCCCAAACCGACCTTGGTTATTCTGCGTCAAAAAGTGAATCCACTTAACCAAGTTCGATTCTCGGCGTTGTCTGCATAGCGGGATGTGAAAACATAGGCAAATAGGCTGCAACACCACCCCAAACCGAAGTTGGATATTCTGCGTCAAAAAGTGAATCCACTTAACCCAGTTCGATTTTCGGGGTTGTCTGCATAGCGGGATGTGTAAAACATAGGCAAATAGGCTGGAATACAACCCCAAACCGACCTTGGTTATTCTGCGTCAAAAAGTGAAGCCACTTAACCAAGTTCGGAATCCATGTCGATCCGACAGTTTGAGATACATTGAAATGATTACAATTCCGAGGAAGGAAAACATCGTTTAGGAAACCCAAATTTTGGATTAAGAAACGAGTCTGAAGAGCGAATACAATATTTCGACTTTAATTCAAAGTCATAGTAATGTAATGTAAATGTGAATTAAAGTCGAAATATTGTATTCGCTCTTCAGACTCGTTTCTTAATCCAAAATTTGGGTTTCCTAAACGATGTTTTCTATCCTCGGAATTGTAATCATTTCGATTCTCGGGGTTATCTGCATAGGGGGATGTGTAAAACATAGGCCAATAGGCTGCAACACCACCCCAAACCGACGTTGGATATTATTCGTCAAAAAGTGAAGCCACTTAACCAAGTTCGATTCTCGGCGTTGTCTGCATAGCGGGATGTGTAAAACATAGGCAAATAGGCTGCAACACCACTCTTATTTGACCCTGGTTACAATGCTTAGTTCCTGATGGACAACAGGGATATTTCATTAGCTTTATATGCATAACCTACTTTTGTAATATGACTTTATTTGAGGAAGAGTTATTTGAAATATTGATGGTTTTCAACCATTCCCATGAGAGTGAGCAAAACAAAAAGGTTCATCAGCCACGGTGGTGGTTTTCTTGTCAGGCCCACCAGCAAACATCTTTTGTTTAACTTTCTCTCCTGGGAATGGTTGAAAAGCATCTATTCGCTGCGCGGTACGAAAAACCAGATGTATAAAAAACCCTTAGGTACAAATCCGTAGCGGAAACGCTAAGTCCTCGAACGGATGCAGCGTAAGAGTTCCGAGGGCTAGAACTCAAATCGTATTATAGTTTTATCAAAATACCTTATRTTAAAAAGTATATTCCTATTATACAAAGAGTGGTTTTGGCTTTTTTGAGTCCTTCTAGATACAACCAATGTCCTAACCTTCAATTTATACTTAAGCGAATTCACTATCGACCTACGGACTCTAAATCTGTCAACCTTC